GGAGTCCTTGTAATAAGGATCCTACTATTTAGGGTGTAAGGGAGTACCTTTTTTTTGGGTCCTTGTATTACAAGGACCCAAAAAAAAGGTACTCCCTTACACCCTAAATAGTAGGATCCTTATTACAAGGACTCCAAAATAAGGTAAGGATCCTACTGTCTAGGGGGCTGTATTAAAATCCCCAATTTTCGGAAACCACCATTTCTGGCGATGGAGGGCGTGACTCACGAGCAACTTTCCGCTGCGAGCAGCAAGAACATGTGATTCACGACTACTAGCTCTTACTTAGTGCTTTCTCGATACTGATGTTGGATGTATCCTGGATTGCCATCCGTCCGTGGATGTTCGCTCATCCGCTGCGAAGCTGAAGCTGCACATACCAGAAGAGCGGGGGCAACAGGGGACGACCTCTGCTTCCAGCAGCGTAAACGGCATAAAGTCGTTTGTCGTGCATTTTCGTGAGTGCTGGTGCTCCAACTGTGACATCATTAAACCGTTCAATGAGTGTTTGGCCACTTGACAAGGCCAGCGCACATTGAGGCGCTAGACAAGACTGGCGACGGTATGAGGTCAGGGCTGGTGGGAGATCGGAGTTCTCCTTGTCACAGAATTCGAAAGCTTCTTTGGTTGGGAACTCGCTGTTTCCTGAGAGAGGTGTCGCTTCCGCCTTCAAGTTCGGCACTCTGTGCGACTGTCCGCCTCCGAAGCATTGCTCAATGCTCCGGCATTTCGATGAGCTGCCGCTAAGAGGGCCACTTGCGGCACAGTCGCCTTGCAGGGTCGACGGCCAGCAGGCACCACCCTCAAGAAAAAGGACAGCAACACATCGATTCCACCGGCAAAGATGAGGCAGTCAGGCAACGCTTCTAGCGGTGTCGCAAAGCCTCGTCAAATCCAGTCCAGTCACTATGGGCAGTTTTGCTGACGTGAAGTATCCGGAAGCTGCACGGACTCCGTGGAGGTAACTTCGGTCAGGTTCTGGACAGATCGCCTGATGGTAAGGATGCTCTGGACTGCAGCGTGTGTTGTGTCGGTGTTTTCGACGAAGGCTGGCCCGGACAGGGTTGGTGTTCATGGTATGCCTGTCTTGTTGTTGAGATCCTGTATTGAGTGAGGCTTGCGCCTGCTCAATGTCAGCAGATAACTTCGTAACTGTCTGGTCGTGCCTGCGCTTCGCTGCGCACAGCACTGCACAGCTACATGGGGGCTTCCGAACATAGGGGACCCTAAGATAGTACCCCAAATAGTACAATCCTTACTGTAAGGACCCCAAAATCAGGTACCTAAACCCTCAATCCTCAAAATAAGGTAACCCCCTATATTTTCCGGAAGCTCCCCAACCTTGCGTCGCAAGAATCGGCTTTATAAAAAAAAGGACCCTAGAAGGGACCCGATTTTAGAGAACTACCCACATGCGAGACTCGGCGCCTTAAAAGCGACTAAAGCAGAGAGAGCCCAAGACCCCTTAATTCAGGAATATACCTTAAATTATAAGGGGCTTCATATAATGGCTTAAAGTCTAATTCCTTGCTTAAGGGGTCTCAAACCCTATAAAAACCCTATAAGCCCCTTAAAGGAGCCCTTAGGGGAACCCTAACTAACTTAAGGTCTATGCCTTAATTTAGGGAGCTTGGGCCCTAAACCCTAAACCCTAAACCCTAAACCCCTAAACCCTAAACCCCTAAACCCTAAACCCTAAACCCTAAACCCTAAACCCTCTCTGACCAAAGCAGCGGCCTCGCCAGCTCCTGGCTCCGGTCTCGCAGCTGACGACGGAACTCATCGATCTGCACGGAAGTCATCGCTGGAGTTCTTTATAGGGGCCCTTCAGAATTAGAATAGGGTTCCTTAAAGGGTTCTAGAAGGGCTACTATAAGGGTTTAGGTTTAGGGTTTAGGGGTCTTCATAATTAGAATAGGG